CAAACAAAGTTGGTCTCACAACCATGTCCGCAACAATATTAACCAGAATGACTCTTAAGGCCTAGCTTGTGTTGCCTTCATAATCAGACAAAACCATGATATGTGGCCTCAAATCTATGTCATCTTCTTCAATAGGAAATTTGGAATCAAATTGACTGCAACTTCACTGTTCACCATAACCTTATTGATGCCTACTCCATCAACCTTATCCCAAATGAAGAGGGGCTTGAGACGTTTCTTTATTTCTTCATTAGGCCTCTTAAAAACAATATTCTCCTCTTCGACACCACCATTACTCATGATATAGTAAAATAAAGGCATATGGTCTGTTTTTTCTTTAGCAACGTAGTCATCCTCCTATTTCGTTATCTCAATAACTCTGTTGAATTTTATAGGCAACATGGATACCACATTGTATAGGACATCAAGCTCATCGTTGAACCCTATTTTAGAGTTGTCAGCGAGCATGTCATCATCTTCGGTTGACATGGGGTCCTTGTCCTTGGACTTGACCAATGATGCCTGAGGGGGACAAATTCTTTCTTCCAGTGGCTCCTTCACAATTGACTAACTGTCACAGGTAGGAATTTAGCATTGCTACTCAATTCTTAAACTTTAAAAGCGTATTTATTCTTATCTAGATAGTTCTTAGACCTATAAGAGTAGGTCTTTAAAATTTGAGAGTTGTTGTGGTATAATGAGCATTATCCTATTTCGACCACTTTCCATTTTTGTTGATTAACTTTTAGATTGACATTGGGTCGAGTCCATTGGTCAGGAGGAACACCTGCAGGTGGAACATATGTATTCTTCTATTATTCCAATGGCATGGGGGGCTTGATATCTTTGATAAGGGGTCTTCCTTTGGGACTTGTCAGAGGTAAATTTGGGCCTCCTATTGATCAAATAACTCTTTTTTTGCTACCGAAGCTTGACTTTTTCAAGATCCTTTGTTACTTCTTTGTAAAAAACTTCACTACAACAAGGGTACAACATCACTTTAGCATATTTGATTTTGCAACAATTCAGGAAATTAATTAGGTCTTCTTCATCAGTTAGACGCACACCCTTGACTCTTTCAGTGTAATCTGCCACATTCAGCTCTTCATCCCTTAGATTGGAATCCTTAGCAACTTCGACCATCATAATCTCCACGGGTTCAACAAGGTTTGCCTCCTCAACTTGCAAGGGGTTTAAGTCGATTTTCATGTTTAGCTTAGGATTATCACCAAACTTAAGCATGTCTTCTTTTAGAGAATCTTGTAGCAAATCCATGAAAATAAGACTTTGAGAAGACTTATGACCAAGGAAATTATGATATTTACAAAAATATTTCTTCTTCCTTTGTTCCACTGGTGGTATATTTAGGCCTTTCTACACTATGATTTGACCATGGGAAACTAGAAAATAAAATATTTCATCACATTTTGTTACATACAAAGTATAAGTTATTGTAACAAAATTTTCATTTCTACTTGGTTCAACAGGATTCTTTCCATTAAGAGGTCTTAAAACTTTACAAACTTACAGAGACCTTGAATTTAATTCTACCAGATTAACCTCATTATCTTGGACATACTCAAAAGCTACGTTGAATTCTTGATTACTATCATCTTTTCTATGTAGGAAATCTTTTCCTTCCTAGGTTGTAAAATTACTCTTGCCTTCTTTGCCTTCAAGTGTTCAACTTGTCTAAGTCTGTATGCTAATTGGGCCATATCCCTTAGGTGTTGCGTATCCAAATTCTTCCTAATTGAATAATCTAAACCACCTATAGGAATTTCAACTAACTCATGCTCATACACTTGAGTAAAACACCTTGGCTTTGTTAACCTAAACCTACTGAGATAATCATCTATCAATTCATCCGAATTTTGTTTCACGCTGGCTAACTCTTTTAGGCTGATTTTCAACTAACCCCTATAAAAATGCTCATGTAACACACGTTCTAGTTGATTTCACAGATGTATGGGATTTGAAGGGAGAGTAGTGAACCATATGAAAGCATTCTTGGTTAAATAATTAGGGAACTATTTTGTCTTAATATTTTCATTATTAGCTAAATCATCAACTTCTGACTGGTATTAAGCATGTGTTAGACAATGGACTCACAAGTATCACCTGCAAACTTAGTATATTTAGGAACTTTATAGTCCCTGGGGAGTTCAGTTTGCAATATAAGATAAGGCAGAAACAAAACTTAGCCTATGAAGACGAACATTAAGACCATTTTGGGTTAGGATTTATTCAACCATATTGGCTATGTTATTTTTCTCCCAAATTTTTTTGTTGGACTCTCCTAACCACTTGATCTGCATCTTAGGTCATGTTCACCAGAACCACATATGGGTTGTTTCAACCTAAGCCTCCTTCGACTACCCTGGGTATAGGTTGTTCAACTGGCTAGGACATAACCTGTTGTTGCACTTGATTATTAGAAACACCTTTATTGTTTACAACTCCTGGATTTTAGGCTACTCCGACTGCTTGGATATGAGGAACTGGATGAATTAGGGGTTTTAGAAGCACCAAATAAACCATCAATTTGACCTATTTAATGTACTAATTGTTGGTAACTATGATTGATATTTTGGATTAGAGGATTGAGCACAATACCAATTTGTTAGGTAAGCATGTTAACCATATCATGCTTACTGTCATCGATTTGTTGTCTTACAACCAAGAGATAATCAATGGTTAAATGTGATATAACTTAAGGGATATATCCTAATCCTTCCTGGGGTTGACCCGCTCAACCAGGGTTGTTTGTAGCAAATCCTGACGCCATATGTTGAATAACAGAAGAGGTAAGAACTATTGCATTAAATGCATACATTGAGGCGTTAATTTGTAGGTCTGCCTTTAATGTAGTTTGCATGCCATATGGATACTCCTTACCACCAGGGAGAAGTGTGAAACTTGGAAGGAATGAAGGCATAGTATCTCCTATAATAGTTGTGTAACCACAAAATTAATATGAGAATTGGTTGGTTATGGTGGGGGTATCATTGTCTCTGGCGTCGTAGTCGAAACTAACGTTTGATTCATGACAGAAGCAGTGACTCTGACATTTGTTGAAGTGCTTGCACCATAAATCGTCATTCCAATTGATTGTTCTTATGCATTTGGAGTGTCGTTATGGGGAGGAGGAACCCTTTGAGGGGATGAATCCTTTGGTGATTGACAAGACATACTAACATGCTTTCCGCTCCTCGAACGCATAAACACTCAATGATTGAAACCATTTGAATGTGTGAAGAGCGTAAAACAAAAATAAAAACATATACACTCTCTACAAAATTTAAATTTTGCACAGAATTATGACTCATGGGTGTGCCAATTTGTTTACCGGCATTTTTAGAAAAATGGAATGTAAGTTCATATATTTCTTACAAACTTGTTATCTCATTGAATTAGATGTATGAGTTTTAAATAAAACAAAATGAATTACGACCCTTGATTACATATTCAGACTTTGCTTATATGAGACATATATTGCTACATGAGTTTTTTTGTCATTAACATCTGACATGTATACTGCTTCATGGACTTTTATTTTCTGATTTATTTCCATGTGTTTTCATCACTTGAAGCGCTTCAAACCGTCACTTATGTCGAAAACGTCTTTAAGTCTTTCAATATGTGGACTCAATAATATACTAAGTCCCAAACACCTCATTTCATACGCGAGTCAAATTCATGCATCTGTCGGAATAGTAAACATATCGAATTTGTGACTTGATGTGAAAAATTTGACTTGATTATCTATACTTAGCATTTTATATTTTATATCACACATGTATGTTTAAATGATAAGCTAAAATTCTCATACTAACAATAATATAATATATAAAAGAAAAAGATAAGAATAAAAAAATATATATTTGGATCCAAAGAAACAACTATACTGTATATTATACAATTTTTAATATTTTTATATTATTTTTTTTTTTGTTATTGTTTTAACGAAAACATTCTTGTTATAGTATATTTTATAAAATATCGGTTCAAATTTTTATACTCAAACATAATTTCTTTTAAATTTATAGTGACATTTTTATCATCAATCTTGCCAGTGTTAGTCAACAAAAATAAGGGTAAGGTTGAAATTTTTTTAAGAATCAACTTTAGAATATGCAGTAGATATTTGATTTTATTGTTTCATTGTTCTTAATAATCAACTATCTTATCGTATATATTTTGATTTCAAATATAATAATAATTAGTCAAAACAATATTTGATATATTCAATTTAAATATTTTATCGATACATTAGTTTTCTTTTACTAACTGTCTCAAGTAGACGGTTTGCATTGTATGAAAGGAAAGTACTATAAGACATGGAAATGTGAATGTCAGTCCACCATAACAAATAGTAATACTAGTATGAAATAAAATGCAGTTATTTAATAAATAAAATTCAATAAAATAATTATTTTTTAAATATGAATAATATATAGATTAAATGTATTATAAATTTAATAAATTAAAAAAAAAAATTTACCGAAAAATTACTCATGATTTAAGTACAGTATGGTATTAATTTGTGCTTTGTTGGTATATTCTCATTTTATGCTAATAATAAGTTATTTTATACACGTGTACATCAACTTAAAATTAGGATAAGGATTCACAAGAAGTTACTACTACGTTAGGTTGAAAAGTTTAACTGCGCGTGCTTTATGTAACACTTGACATTCAATTCAATATGGGAAAGTGAATGTGGACTCTTTTCGAGATTTGTTCATTTAAAATGTCGTAATAATGACTAGATTCATTCATGCTTTAATTGAAGAGATAGATTTTATGCATAAATATGACACCGTTTCTCTATTATTCTTACTCCATTTTCTTGTCATTTTCCTTCTTTCCAAACACAATTTCATCACTTTACCGTCATAATCCTTTCTTTATTATCAATTTATTAGTAATTTGCATACCATAGAGATTTATACATATATATAGAGAGAGAGGGAGAGATGGAAATTGAACATAGAGTAATGTTAGAAATGGGAAGGAATATTCCGATGAGGTTTGAGAGGTTAGCGGCGGCGTTTGAGAGTGATGAGGCGGCGCGTGTGAGGTTATGCGAAAGCAGTGGGAGCGAGCACTCGGCTGAAGACTCACCTGATTTATCAGATCTTGTGAAATCGTTCATGGAGAAGAATTCTGTGAGAGAAGATTCGGTTGTTCATGATAACGATGATGGCGAATTTGACTGGTATGATTCGGAGAAAAAGGAGATACTGCAAGAGATTTTTGGTGATGATGATGATGATTATAATGTGAAGGAAAAGATTAGAAGAGAGGTTGAAGTTGCAATTGAGCTTGTTGCTGGAGATAAATCTTCACCGGGATTCAAACGCCTCGTCATGTCAAGTTTGCGGGAGAGAGGTTTTGATGCTGGTAATTAACTACTACTGTATTTATTTTTGCTTTATTTATTAGTCTGTTATGAGTTTCTTTCAATTTAAGTCATTGAAGAATTTTTTTTTTCTGATGTTTTGTATTTTTGTGTACAGGTCTCTGCAAAACAAGGTGGGAAAGGAATAAAAAATTTCCATCTGGTGACTATGAGTACATTGATGTAAATTTCGGTGGAAATCGATACATAGTTGAAATATCTCTTATGGCTGAATTTGAAATAGCTCGTCCTATAAATCAATATGCTTCTTTACTTGATGAATTCCCTTTTGTATTTGTTGGGAAAGTGGAAGAGCTGAAAAAGGTTGTGAGGTTGATGTGCACTGCTATTAAAGATTCAATGAAGACTATAAAAATGCATACACCTCCATGGAGAAGAAATGGTTACATGCAAGCTAAATGGTTTAACCCTTACAAGAGAACAACTAATGAGGTTGCTGCAACAAGAAAATCCATTGGATTTGAAGCATACAATTGCAGAGATAATTTTGGGAGGAAGAGTGCTTTCAAAGTTGGGAATTTGACTGCAGCGTTTAATGTAGATGGCATTGGGATGAAATTATAGTCATATTGGAGAAGAGTGTATAAAAAAAATGAATTTTCATTTTTCTTTTTCCCTTCGCACAGGGCACAGAAGTGCTTTAGCACATTTTTCCCAGTGATCTGTGTAATGGGGTAATTTTGCATTTTGAGTTGAGATGAGTTGGGTAATAAAAATTACTATTACCTCTATTTAAGAAGAAATTTGGCTCATTTTTGTCTTTATTTAAAGGAAAATAAGCACATTTCGATATGCATAAGTTATTAAAAGAAAATTCCTTGATATAAAGCCACCTCTTACTTTTTTTCTCTATTTATATTAAGGAAAATAATTGGTCAATTTAATATATTCATTTTAAATGCAATCTTACATATTTAATATCTATAACTTTAACTTTTTCTCTTTAAGATAAAGTAATAGTAATATTAGTAAATAATATCTATAAAAGTGTAAGTCTTGACCAAATAATAAAAATTAACATCTATAAAAAAAATTAATTACTACGTGTGTTAGATTCATCCAACAGTGGTAGTAGAGAAAATACATGTTTGTTTGAAAATAGAGAAACCATTGCTACCAATTTATTTAGTTAACAAATTGGTTCGTTGCATCATGCATTGTAATACATATTTCACCTAAGAAATCAAGCCGCGCTCTAACTCGACAGCGATATCCATTTCCGTTCCAACTTTTCTGGGAAGCGACAGCAGCTTCCAATGGTGTTGTTTTATTTAGATTTGCATCGTAAGGGCAGGAACTGAATCAGAATGCCATTTGTCAAAGCAAACCAGTTCCAACTTTCCTGGGAAGCGACAGCAGCTTCCAATGGTGTTGTTTTATTTAGATTTGCATCATAAGGGCAGGAACTGAATCAGAATGCCATTTGTCAAAGCAAACCAGAATCTAGGCTAGTCTCGACCACTCTCCAAATAATGCTTTCTAGTTTCGCACAAAGGTTCTTGTAGAACTGCAAGAGTACAAATACATATTGTTACAGTCAATACATAAGCCTGCACATATAAATACTAGTGCATTTTGCAATTACAAAAGTTTAGAAGTACACAAACATTTGAGAAGGTGGCTACTGGAAACTAACATGTTTGAGATGAATTATAGGACAATCAAATCTGTAGACAACTCCATGCAACCAAACTAACCATTAAAACCATTTGTGGGTGTGAGTAATTGGAGAATTGAAGAAATTTGAAGTAGAGCAAAGACATTACTACCCAACAACCCGCATCACTACCATTAGGAATTATCATCCATGAAGTCCCAAAGTCAGACTATCTAACCTTACAGCTTCTACTAGAACTTCTTTATTTATCTCCCTTTTCTTAAATTTTGATTGCACAGTTTCCAATTTATGATCTCCATATTCTATGAGTTTCAACCATTTCCCGATTTTATAACACAAATGTTGTTTCATTTCTTACTAAATTTATTGTGGCATGTGTATTCAACCATCGGTGGCTTTGAGGAAATATAATGGCTATTTTGTTGGGTTTTTATTAGGGACATGTAATGAGACTATTTTCTTCATCTGCAGTATGACTAAAATATATATATATATATATATATATATATATATATATATATATATATATATATATATATATATATATATATATATATATATATATATATATATATATATATATATATATATATATATATATATATATATATATATATATATATATATATATATATATATATATATGCACAATGTCGCTTTAACAAGTGGTATTTTGGTGTACAGAGAAAATTAGCAGTCTTAAGTTTTCCTCTCTTTTAACAAACTCCTGAATCAATTAGAATAGGAGCATTGATATGAAGAAAAAAAAACTCTGCATATCTGTGTGATTGCAAATGGTCTTTCTTCCTTTTAGATTAAGCTATTTCATTTTAGTGATTATCCATGGGATAGCTTGAAAGCATTTTGGTTTTGAGATTCAAAATGCAGATATGTGTAAAAACAGCTAACCTTGTGATACTCAAGAGTATTCCCAGCTGCCTTTCGAACATCTACCATGAAAAGGGAGGGTGCAACTGTTGGAAATAATAATTTATTTCCATTAAAGTTGTTCCAAAATGACAAAGTGGGGTTATAATAAATGCTTAGTCCCACATTGGAAGAGGAGTAAAATTAAATAGCATTTATAAGGCACTTGGAACAATGTAATTTCCAAAAGAGCCAAAAAGGATAAAGTACCACATAGTCACATGTGGTGGTGCCAAAACTTATGTCACTTGTCTCATACAAAACACCCCTCGCCGGTGTCGCCTCCGGCTCCGGAACCGGATCCGGGGGCGTGGGCGTAGAGGCGCTAGTGGCGGCTTGTAGACGGCACTTGAGCACTTACTCGCTCAGACTTATTCGTTGCCTAGAGTTTGATTTTGAATTTGAATTTGAAATACATGACACTTGACGAAGTGGTGCATGATATTTTATGTGAACCATTGCAAATGCTCATTAGAGAGTGTGTTTATGAAGAATTGCAAACTTCTGAAAAGACACATGCATGGCTATAAATATATGTTTCATAATTCGAAATCATTCACTCCAAATTCTGAAATCCTCTTCCATATAATTCCAACATTTTCCTTGCATTCGAAACTTCATCAGTCTTGTGCAGTTTCGAGAAAAAGGCTGACTTATCCTGGGTATTCAGGCCGTTCCAACTCTAAGACAATCTGAGAGTGTGCTTGAAATACTTTTAAGGAAAGTGATTTCGTTCACGATTCAGTCTGGATCCATTCGACATAGAAGGATTAACTAACAATCTTAAAAGTATTTGTATCATGGATTCCGACGCTGCTGTTTCAAGTATCAAAGTCATGAATCAGGATCTTGTCAAATTGGATCGCTTCGATGGAAACAACTTTACCAGATGGCAAGACAAGATGACGTTCCTACTTACTGCACTCAAGGTTCACTACGTCTTGGATCCCAATCTGACACCAATTCCAGAACCAACTGCAGATGATTCTGACGAACTCAAGAAGAAGCGCATGCTGCGAAGGGAGGACGAATTACTATGCCGTGGGCATATTCTGAACACGCTGTCTGGCCGCCTATACGACCTATACACAGACAATCCGTCCGCTAGAGACATATGGAATTCACTAGAATTTAAATTCAAAGCCGAAGAAGAAGGTACGAAAAAGTTCTTAATTTCTAAATACTTTGATTTTAAATTTATAGATTCCAAGCCCATACTTCCTCAAGTGCACGAATTGCAAGTCCTGGTGAACAAAATCAAAGCGGTGAAAATAGACATTCCTGAAACCTTTCAAGTTGGTGCAATCATTGCGAAGTTACCAAGTTCGTGGAAAGGCTATAAAAAGAAACTGTTGCACAGTTCTGATGACTTTTCCTTGGAGAAAATCCAGAAGTATCTTCGAATCGAGGAGGAATCGAAGGAGAGGGAAAAATCAGAATCTGCGGGTCTTTCCAAAGCCAATGCTGTGACCAGAAAGGAAAAGAAAAAACATGATGTCAAGAAAAGTCACATCGCACCAAAAAAGGAACATACCAAGTTCAAAAACTTCGGTGGTCCGAAGGGTCCGAAAAATGGATGCTTTGTATGTGGAAAACCTGGACATTATGCTCGAGATTGCAGGCATAATAAATCAAAAAAGGAGATCAATGCAGTAAATGCTAATGATGATATAATTGCTACTGTGAGCGAAATTATGGCAATCAAAGGCAAAGTCCAAGGCTGGTGGTATGATACATGTGCCACGGTTCATGTCTCATATGACAGGGCTGCATTCAAAACATATTCTGAGGCAAATGATGGACAAGAAGTACAAATGGGAAATGAAGTGCGATCCAAAGTTGTTGGAACCGGAACGGTCGAACTCAACTTCACTTCTGGAAAGAAAGTTACTCTTGTTAATGTGCTTCATGTTCCAGACATGAATAGGAATCTTGTTAGTGGGGATTTATTGGGAAAACCGGGTATTAAATCTGTGTATGAATCGGGCAAACTTATTTTGACCCGTAATGGTGTGTTTGTTGGAAAAGGATATTCCGCTGAAGGAATGATCAAACTATGTATTACTGATAACATGATTAATGAAATTTCTAATTCTGCTTACATGCTTGATTCAGTTACTTTATGGCACAATAGATTAGCACATATTGGTATTAGTTCAATGAAGAGACTAATTAAACTTGGTTTGATATCATGTAATATCAAAGATTTCAATAAATGTGAATTATGTGTTAAATCAAAAATGATTAAGAAACCTTTCAAAAGTGTTGAAAGATATACAAATCTGCTTGATCTTGTGCATTCAGATTTGTGCGAATTTAATGGCATGTTGACCCGTGGGGGAAATAGATATTTCATTACATTTATTGACGATTGTTCTAGATACACTTATGTATATCTCTTAAAGCATAAAGATGAGGCTTTTAATGCCTTTAAGAGTTACAAAGCAGAAGTGGAAAATCAATTAAGTAGAAGTATAAAAGTCCTTAGGAGTGATAGGGGCGGTGAATACTTTTCTACTGAATTTGATGCATTTTGTGAAGAACATGGTATAATACATGAATGTTCGGCACCTAGAACACCACAACAAAATGGCATAGCAGAAAGAAAGAATCGAACATATCAAGAAATGATGAACGTCATGTTATTGCATTCCGAACTACCTTTCAATTTGTGGGGCGAAGCATTATTATCCGCTTGTCACATAATAAATAGAATTCCCTTAAAGAAAAGTGGAATTTCTCCATATGAGGTATGGAAGGGCATGACACCAAATATTGGCTATTTTAAGGTGTGGGGGTGTGTGGCATATTACAAAAACATGGATCCTAAGAGAACCAAGTTGGGTCCTCGAGGGATAAGATGTGCATTTGTAGGATATGCACAAAATAGCAAAGCATATAGACTGTTAAATTTAGAGTCTAATATTATTGTTGAATCCCGGGATGTAGAATTCTTTGAAAACCTTATAACTAAGGATAAAGAATCAGAGTCGGCCATAAATAAAGAATCTTGTGAAAAAGACTCTTCTCGGATTTTAGAAATACAACCTGAAGACACATCTCGAATAAATGAACCACGGCCTGAACCTAGGATAAGCAAAAGAGTCCGGAAAATAAAGAACCTAGGACCAGACGAAATTGATTCTCAATCCATTTCATTTTATCTGGTTGAAGGAAATAATACAAATTTTATTAAAAGCATTCCGGTAATTCTTCAAGTAGGGGAAGATCCTAAAACTTATAAGGAAGCAATAGCTTCAAGAGACTCCTCTTTTTGGAAAGATGCTATCCGAGATGAAATGGATTCAATTATGTCCAACCACACTTGGGAACTTGTTGATTTACCAAAGGGATCAAGACCCATTGGATGCAAGTGGGTGTTTAAAAAGAAATATCATAGTGATGGTACATTAAACACTTATAAAGCAAGATTAGTGGCAAAAGGATTTAGACAAAAGGAAGGTATAGATTATTTTGACACTTATGCACCTGTAGCAAGAACAACCACTATAAGGTTGTTATTTGCTTTAGCATCTTTGAATGATCTGATTGTTCATCAAATGGATGTTAAAACAACATTCCTAAACGGAGACCTCGATGAGGAAATCTACATGGAACAACCAGAAGGACACGTCCTTCCTGGAAATGAACAGAAGGTGTGCAAACTTGTCAAATCTCTATATGGCTTAAAACAAGCACCAAAACAATGGCATCAAAAGTTTGACGCTACGATAATGTCAAATGGATTTATTCCTAATTCTTGTGACAAGTGTTTATATACAAAAGTGTATAATAACACTGTAATATTTTTGTGTCTTTATGTTGATGACATGCTAATAATTAGCAATAGACTTAATGGAATTCTAGAAACAAAAAGGTTTCTAACTTCCACTTTCAAGATGAAAGATCTTGGGCTTGTTGACACAATTTTAGGAATAAAAGTTAAGCAAAATAGTGGGGGTTATGAACTTAATCAAACACATTATATTGAGAAAATGCTTGATAAGTTCAAACACCTGAAATTCAAGGAAGTAACTACTCCATTTGATCATGTAATCAAACTTGAAAAGAATGATGGAAGAGCAGTGGCTCAATTAGAATATGCAAGTGCGATCGGATGTCTTATGTACTTAATGCAATGTACTAGACCCGATATATCATTTGCAGTTAGTAAAATGAGTAGATTTACTAGTAATCCAAGTAATGAACATTGGAAGGCAATCACGAGGATATTTGGTTATTTGTTGAAAACCAAAGATCTTGGCCTTCATTATGGCAGGTTTCCTGCTATATTAGAAGGATATACCGATGCCAGTTGGATCTCTGACGTGGGAAATCACAAATCTACAACTGGGTGGATATTTACACTAGCTGGAGGAGCAATTTCTTGGAAGAGCAAGAAACAAACATGCATTACTCTTTCGACCATGGAATCAGAATTCGTGGCTCTCGCTTCCGCTAGTCAAGAGGCAGAGTGGTTGAGGGATCTTCTTTTGGAAGTTCCATTGACTAAAGACAATGTTTCAAAGGTAATGATACACTGCGATAGTCAGGCCACTTTAGCAAGAGCATTTAGCGAAGTGTATAATGGAAAGTCCAGGCATATAGGACTTAGACATTCGTTCGTAAGAAAACTGATTAAGGATGGAATCATTTCACTTACGTATATACGAACAAGCTATAATTTGGCTGATCCGTTTACTAAGCCACTGGCCAGAGACTTAGTAAGAACAACCTCGAGAGGTATGGGGTTGAAACTCCCTGAGTAAGAGTTCCGACAATGGCGGCAACCCAATCTTAAGTTAACAGAACATTAACGTTAAGATTTTCAATGGGTAACAACAAGTCGTTGATTTGGATAATTGTCTAACATTTCATAATTATGTTGACATTAGAAATGAGGGTTGAGTTTTATCTTAAACTCTTAATGAAGTTCAATACCGAGGGTACGTATCTATTGGAAACAGATACTATATGAACTTCACCTATGTGAATTATGAGATGGTGCCGTCTCAAAGTGAGAGTTGGAGTTTCTCTCATGAAAAAATTCATGAAACAGGATAGCACATGGCCATAAATAAGTGCTAAGCGAGTTATGCAGAGGAAGAATCTTTAAGGAGTGTGTGTAAGGTAACACCGGTCTATTCATATGGATTCATGGTTTAAAAGCATTGCTACCTAATATTCCGATTAAACCTTGTGTTATTCTTACTAAGGTTAAGTTTAAAATCGAAAGATACTTAACTGTATTAATACTTCTTATGTCCCATTTCTGGAATTGTTATTTTGTCATTATTAGAACAAGTGGGGGATTGTTGGAAATAATAATTTATTTCCATTAAAGTTGTTCCAAAATGACAAAGTGGGGTTATAATAAATGCTTAGTCCCACATTGGAAGAGGAGTAAAATTAAATAGCATTTATAAGGCACTTGGAACAATGTAATTTCCAAAAGAGCCAAAAAGGATAAAGTACCACATAGTCACATGTGGTGGTGCCAAAACTTATGTCACTTGTCTCATACAAAACACCCCTCGCCGGTGTCGCCACCGGCGACACCGGCTCCGGAACCGGATCCGGGGGCGTGGGCGTGGGCGTAGAGGCGCTAGTGGCGGCTTGTAGACGGCACTTGAGCACGACGCCTCCGGCGGGCGGACCGGCCTTCGGCCGGTATACTGCGAATTTAATTTTTAATTATCGCTCAGACTTATTCGTTGCCTAGAGTTTGATTTTGAATTTGAATTGTGCAGTTTCGAGAAAAAGGCTGCTGCGAATTTAATTTTTAATTATCGCTCAGACTTATTCGTTGCCTAGAGTTTGATTTTGAATTTGAATTGTGCAGTTTCGAGAAAAAGGCTGACTTATCCTGGGTATTCAGGCCGTTCCAACTCTAAGACAATCTGAGAGTGTGCTTGAAATACTTTTAAGGAAAGTGATTTCGTTCACGATTCAGTCTGGATCCATTCGACATAGAAGGATTAACTAACAGCAACTTCAAACACCTTTTGACAAGATACCAAGATGATTTTAGTTAGGTCCTGATACAGAAAAAACCATACCAAAAATAATATATACAATAAACACACAAATCGCCTCGAAGACCACTGCAAATTGCCCAACCTTATTTGAAGAAACTCTTTCAATCCTCATCTCCCAGGACATTATATTTAAAAAACCAATGGAAAAAATTGAAAGTAAGATACTATTACCATACATTTCTTTTTGGGACAGTGTTGTCAAATATCCGGTATAGCGCCGGTATACTGGTATTGCATATCGGAATTTTGGCTATCCGATGCGAAAGCCGGTATAGCATTTCAATTTCGTGATGCTCAAAATAACGACGCTTTTCCGGTATACTGGTTTTTAATTGAATATCGGTACCAATATTATTATTATTATTGTTATTATTTTTTATAATAAATCATAATAAAAAACATTAAAATAGGAGAATGTGAAGAAAGAGAGAAATCATGGCTACCAAGCAGAGACAGTGAACTCATTATTTTTAGCCATTCAAATTGCAAATACAGGGTAAACCATGGAAAGACACAGACAGTTACAACGCTACACACAAGTTCAATCAGGTTGGCTCCATAAGACTGCACCTCACATAGGAATTTTATTTAGAGGCCCTGGCTTGCTAACAGTAAGGTTCTATCAATATAATAAGTTAGTTTTACTATCAATATTCACATCTGGTTCTAGGATATCACAAGACTTCCTAAGCATAGAGCTGTTTCTTTCTGTCTTTTCTCCTATGCAGCATTCTCTTACTTATCTCATAGCAGCCAGCCTCTTGACGCTATCCTTATGGCATTGGCTAAGCTCATTATTTATTGAGAAATGGTGGTTTGATATATAACTAACTTTTGCAGAAATTACACCATTTGTTGCCCTGATTGACTCGGTACTGAAAAAAAAAAAAAGAACTGATCAATCAAATAAAGAAGAATAAAAAAGTAACTCATCATCAATTTAGACTACATACTCCTATAATATTCTGAGCTACCTTAATTTAGATTAAAGACAAATTTAAGAATCTTGTAGGTGGCCATGGTAGAGTATTAACTACCTGACAGAAATCCTTTAGAACTTTCACGCTTTCCACATGATAACAGTCTACTCAATCCCTCTTTTAGAGAAGGGGATATTGTAGGACAAGAAGTCAAAACATCAAGCGACTTAATCACACCTTTGCTTTCAAGAAATCGAAAGGCCGATGAGACACTTTTAACAATGATATCCTTATGTTCCATATCATAGTTGTCGACAAGAAGTAACAAAAACTCAAGAAGAGTGTTGGTCATGTCCACATATTGGGGAATAGAATGTACCATCAACAAAATAGCAGGCTCTATGTTCATGATATTGTCCACCCTTTCATCAAAAAAGAGCCAATCATAAAACAAAGCCAGTTTCACATTGGCCTCAATATAATTCTTCCTCCTACAAGTTGTCAAAAGCCAACCAATAACAGCCCATCTCGGAATCACATCAGACTGAATAATCTCATTTGGAGGATGGTGTGCACAACATATAAATCTAACTATATCAACTATAACAGTCTCTTTATCAGGCTCATTTAGAAATTTCCTAGCAAACCATGTCAAATGCCTCTTTTCATGCCCCAACTTCACATGGGTAAGCAAAAACCGCAATTGAGTTTCCATTTCAGGAGTGATCCTAAGCAAAGCATACCTACTCGAAGTCCTAGTGCAATAAATCTGAGAAACACCACCAAATCCTAAAGTACTAAACTTAGATGGATTCAAAATTAGATCCTTCCATATAGACTTAAACTCAGGAACATGAACCAAATCCTGCAACAATCGAACAAAATCCCTCCCAATTTTTAAAATTAGGTGAAATTCGTCCTTCACCATTTTTACACACAAATGAACCTCCAACCGCTTCAAAGACTCCAACTTTTCACCATTGAGCCTATAATGATCAGCCAAAACTCGAAGAAACACATACAAAGCACTGCACAAAATGTGGGGCGCTTCTTCCAAGAAACAATCCCATTTATTCAATAAGAGAGTCACCAACTTCGTACAAAGCCACAAATTGTCGTCGCTGAAATCACCGCCAACGATTTGCCTCAAAAGGGAGACCAAGAGGGCGTCGTAGCCAATTGCGGAGACATGAACCATTTCATTGGTGACCCAAAGCAACTGGTTTTTCACCGAACTAAGGAGCTTTGGGTAGAGGTGGTAAACACTTTTGAGGAGCAAGTTGAGGAAGATGGCATAACCGTCGGTGACGAGAGCGTGCAGGTGTTTAATGTGGGTTTTGGCAAATTGGGGTTCGGTGAGGATGCCGTGAAGGATTGCACAGTTGAGTTGAGCGTATTCATCAGGTTTTGGAATGGTTAATGTGAAGGGTGGTCTCAAGGAAGGTTCCAGAGATTCAAGGGATTGTTTCAGAGATACTTCGATTTGCTTTTCGGCTTCGTGCGGTGCCACTTGGGTCAAATTCAAAACCATGATGGAAAGAGGAACGAATAAGAAACGCAGGTTTAAAGGGACTTCGGCACCTTCTTTGTGGTGGAACTTGGTTCCTCTAAATTAATATGCACACTGGAACCCTCTTCTCTACATTTATTTCATTGCTCATGACAACATCTGCGTCAAATGCATTTTCTGCTCCAATTCCCCTTGCTCTATCTATAGCACATATATCTACAATGTTGTCCAAGTTTAGAATGACCTTAAATCAGAATTGATTGGCTTCTTCACACGATTTCAAAACAAAAGAAAACAACAATAATTAGAATCAACAAACTAATAATCAAAATGTGAGGATGCAAAATATAAATGCAAACAAACCTATCTATATGAGGAGTGTAAGTAACACAAATTACAACCTATAGCTTTCTCAAAATAACATAGATATGTTTCGTGTTTGCTGAAGGTTTCAAAAAATAAAGGATAACCTATTTAGTCATTGGCAATAACTGCTAGATATTTTCAGAGTATCAATGATATACTTGAAGATTTCAAGAAAAATCTGGAACTAACGGTACTATAACATAAATTTTTTGCAACAACTGGGCGATTTCATTGTCGATATGCTACAACGAACAATTTGACAAAATGAGTAGAAGAAATAGTGATACAAAAATCAATTGAAACTAACCTTTTCAAGCAAAACGCGATTTACATTCGAAATCATTCGGTGACGGATGGAGCGGCGCAAAGGAGAAGATGAAGTGAGTTGCAGAGCGAACGCGAGCGCGAGAGAGAAGCTAATTTGTTTTATAATCGAATTTGAAATTGGACATTTATATGGTTTTTAGATCTGAATCTGGATATCCGTTTTTATATCTGGGTATTGTTGTTATATCTGAATATGGATATTTACCCGGTTTTTATTTATTTCTCATTTCAGAAGTTAAAAGTTATTTTCTCTCTGATTTTCTAGTCATCATAAACATAAACCTTGCCGGAGAAAAGGACTACCAGATTCGTTTTCCATTTTCTGTCAGGTCGCCGCCGTAAGTTTTTCCGGCCACTCCTTCTCGTTTCAATTTAGTTCCGATCTATCTTCTTCCTCGTGATAAGCACTTTCCTTTTCGTTTGTTTCAGTGACGTGTTTGGCTTCCGCCACGGCTCGCGACTTCACAAACGTGATTAAGCCAATTGTATTATTGATAATCACATTAAGCAGTGCGTTTGTGTTTCTACTTGTTGTGTCCCCTAAAAGCGCGTTTCGTAATTCCTCTAGAGTTACGGTAACGGAACCAATGGCTCGAAGTTTTGTTCTGTGGCTTCATGGTCTTGGTGACTCCGGTCCTGCCAATGAACCTATCAAAACGTTATTCACTTCTCCTCAATTCAGAAACACCAAATGGTCCTTCCCTTCCGCACCTCACGTACCAGTCACTTGCAACTGTATGTATATTCATTTTTTTTGTTGGATCAGCGATAAAATTGATTCATAGGGTTAATTTCATTTGACTTATTATTATTATTAGATCCACCACAAAATTGAACTTGTGAATTACTCAATTGATTGATATAGCTCCCTTTGGGAAAGTCATTTAGGGTTTTTGTAGATTGGTTTATTTGAATTTATGTGCTTACATAAGCATATTTGAAGGCTTTTGAGATGTCTTTGGGCTGTTCTCAGCTTATTTCTATAAGCTTTTAAGGGTAACTTATAAAAATAGCTTATATATGAAAACAATTATACTTTATTTTATCTTTTGTTACAGAAATAACTTTACATAAGTGTACTAGTAAAAATACGTTTAGTACACCATTGTTGCTCCACTGGTGTAGGTCTAGTGAAGCTTAGTTGATTTCTCAATGTCTTTCCTTTTGGTGATCATCCGTTTATATAGTGCCTCTGATCCTTTCGGTATGTAAAGCTCAGATAAGTGTGTTATCTGTGCATTTAAGTCTGAATAATCCTCTTGCACTAGTTTTGGGCCGCAAAGACTAATTTGATCCAAGAAGCCGGTTTATCCGGCCCCACTATGACGGATGAATTATCAACCCGCGGCAGGCTCTTGATAATCTTGGGCGAGCTCTTGATACTCCGGGCTGGTATAGACATACCGGTACACAGTCCTTCAAGCACAAAGTGTGTAGGAGCAAAATGCTTTCAGGGAAAGACCATGACATTTACAATAAGCAATCATATGATCAGTGTTTAAGCTATATGCATTTGATTAAATTGTTTATCCAAACATGAACTTACTTTTTCATTACGAATAGAGATTATATGATGTGAGTACAAGTCAAGTCTCAACTCTCAACTACATTAGATGTCCAAATATTAACCTAATTTGACAGTATTATGTTACAATTTTTGCTCTTTCCTCACAGAACCTGCTCCACCAGACCCATCCTTAGCGCTTACAAGTTCCTGGAATTGATTAGCCATTGTCAGAACAGTTTCTGATTCTGAGTGATGATGTTTGGTAGTTGGTCTTTGTTTATGCTAAAGATGTTTCCTATTAATATATGTTATCTCCTCCTATACCAATGCTAGGCTTAAATTTACTTCTTGGTATCGTTAAATGTATGTATAATCAAATTATAATCGACATACTAACACCACTTGAGATGGCATTTGTAGGCAACATCATAGGCTTACAATCAGCTTTCCGACTTTAAAAGATGATGATATATTATATTGATTTTGTTTATGCTTTGTAGATGGTTCTGTAATGCCTTCATGGTTTGACATTCACGAGATTCCTGTGACAGCTGTAAGTCTAGTTTTCTTTTATCTCTTTCATTATTGATTATTATTTCTCGTAAAAGTGTTCTCTCCTTTTTTTATAATAACATTGTACGATCGAGCTTGAAGGGAATATTATAAACAATATAACAAACATGGCGATCCTTATTTTTAATATGCTTGGGCCTTTCATATCTCCATTTTCCACATTCCTGCTATTTAAAGTGTTGTCAGAATGTCAATTGAAGTATGATATTAAGTACAATTGAATAATATTGTTTAATTTTTGGGTTACAAAAGGAGAACAACAGGTTCAACTGTTCACTTGACAGTAACTGTAATTCTTTACAAAGCAACACCATGTGCTGTTATCGTGGTAGTGGACATGTTTCAAATGCCCACTTGAAAATGAGAATAATTCTGTTTAAAGCATAACCCTGTATTTTATTATGGTAGTGCCAACTCCTAATGTTAACATATAAACGATAACTAAGAATAATGATTTCTGCGGAGTGTTTTCTGTGACAATCTCAATAATGGTTTGCTTATTAATGGCATATTGTGCTGCTGACTATAACTGATCTGTTGCATGTTCATCTTCTCAAGTGAAATATTACTTTGTCTGATAGAATCTTCTGGACTCAGCAGCTCAACTTTCGTCAGTCGTGAAACTCATTTCTTTGTCATATTTAGTTTTCGAATTTAATAATGATATCTCAGAATTTTCAACAACTGATAAGAGTTATGCTTACAGCTTTTAATCCTGGTCAATTATTATATCATTTTATCTTGTTTTCCTTGATTTAATTGTCAATTTGTGTGTGATGTAAGTGACACCCTTCTCTTATAGATGGTGCACCTCATAGGCCAAAACTTTGGTCCTCATCGTCACGATCAACTTTCAATGATAAATTTATTTGCAAGAGTCATATGTCACTATATCTTGTAAATGTCATAAAAAGCTTAAAGGCCTCTCTATCTCTCTCACTTCACTTTTTAGTTCAATTATTTACTTTAAAGCTCACTGTTACCTGTTGAGCAACTTAAGTTGTGCAATTAGTTTTATCCTCTTTAGAATGCTGCGGTTGATCTTATCAAATGATGTTGTAAAACATTTTGCTTATATTTGGTAGGATTCTCCAATGGACGAGACTGGTTTACTTAAAGCTGTTCAAAAAGTTCATGCTACAATTGACAAGGAAATAGCTGCCGGCACAAACCCTAACAATGTATTTATCTGTGGATTCAGTCAAGGAGGTATCTCCTTTAATTCCCGTGTCTATATAAATGTAAATGTGCATGTGCATACTAATTTCTGGCCCTTCCTACTAGTTCTGAATAGAAAATAACAACATCTAATCCTTATTAAATGGGATTGGGTAGTTCTTAATAGTAAAACAGATATAAGAGTAGCTTGCTGATAGATATCGACTTTGCTTTGCAGGTACATTGACGTTGGCCAGTGTTCTGCTATACCCTAAAACTTTAGGTGGAGGTGCTGTCTTTAGTGGTTGGGTTCCATTTAATTCGTCTATTACTGAAAAAATTACCCCCGAGGCTAAGCAGGTAATTGTTATCTTCAGGAATATTATTATATTATGTGCCATCTCAATTTCTTTCTTCTAATGTTTCTCTTTTTTTGTCAAGCTTTCTCTTAGTTCTACTCATTCCATTTTCAATTGTCTCTGCATCAAATGTTTAGGTAGAAATATTTGCTATATGTCCCAACAAAAGTACACCAATCCAATAGAGAAAACCATATATGCGCCGTTAAATACAGAAAATAAACAATACTTGGATGTCTATTTTCGTCTGTAGTATAAAGCATACATTCCAGCCCAGCTGATTTTCTTTCATCAGGGCCTATTGTAATTGGTATAAATAAAGTAGTCATTGGAACGGTGACACTTCTCAAGTTCTCAGTTTTGGTTTGTTTATGGCAATAAATTTTGAATTTAGAGTCACTTTCCATATGAGCCATGGGCCTTACAAAGTTACACTAGAATAACTTGGTATCATTGAATGGAGTATTTTCAATTTGTTAAGACACTATAACTTAAATAGCTGGTTATGATAATATTTGACTTAATTGAATTTTGTTGTTTGCTGTAACCATCATTTTTTTTGTTGTGTTGACCTATAATATGCATAAAAATTGTTATACAGACACCCATACTGTGGTCCCATGGGCTGGTTGACAAAACAGTATTGTTCGAGGCAGGACAAGCTGGTCCTCCGTTCCTTGAAAAACTTGGCGTCAGTTGTGAGTTTAAGGTGAAATTCCAACTTCTCTATGATTTGGTTATTTATTTATGCAACGACTCCTTCTGTCCAAAACTATATTGACATTTGGTATTATTAGGCTTATCCTGGTCTTGCCCACTCCATAAACAACGAGGAGCTGCGGGATCTCGAATCTTGGATCAAGGCACGCCTACAAAGTTCTTCTTAATTTTCAACCAGTATCTCTTACTTTGTAACTCAATAATTTTAATACATGCTTGTGTACTAGTACTTGTGTAGACCTCCCTATCACTTAATCTATTTTCACTTTGTTCTCAATATTTAACACAATCGAAATTCTTGATCCCATTTACTCTTTCATATCATGGTGAAATATAATCTTTCCTTTTCTTACTCTCTCAAAAGCACTATAATGCTCTTTGTCTGCCTTGATATTTCTTCTTTTTTGTTATATTATAATTGAATATTAAGTAATAATGATCACAAAGTCACTCATGAATGAGGATTGATACTTTTGAGCTAAAATTCAGCATACATATACTCATGCAGTTGGAACTTTTCTGACTTTAAGATGGGTTAGGGGGTGAACAAGTTACCTCAAATTCACACAAAAAATGTGATACCATGTGGTTAAAATGGCAGCAATAATGTGATCCCTGATGCCAATTTCTCTGTTGAGCTATAGTGGTAAAAATGGCAGCAATAATGTGATCCCTGATGCCAATTTCTCTGTTGAGCTATAGTGGTAAAAATGGCAGCAATAATGTGATCCCTGATGCCAATTTCTCTGTTGAGCTATAATAGCAACCCCACACAGAAAGAAGAATATAATGTTTACTCACTGAAAACTATGGCCATGTTAAAAGATCCCTTATTTCAATAGTAGTTACAATTGTGCAATACTTTCTTTTTTCTTCATCTTCTTTCCCATGGAACCAGTTCATACGCCAATTAATTACTTAATGCATCCTTTATATTACTATGGCACTACATGAAAATACCAAAATGTCTTTAATTTTTAGAGATTCATCTCTGGACGCATCACATCACACACTCATTCGTTTTTGAGTCACGTTCAAATTTTATGACTTAAATTATTTCAGAAATACATTTCCGAAACTCACAAAAACATGTATATCCTATGGTTATTCACAAAAACACCATATAGGATTCAAGTGTTTTTGTAAGTTTCAAAAATGTATTTCCAAAGATATTTTTGAAATGCATTTTTAGAATAAATTAAATCATAAAATTGAGGTGTGGCTCAAAAACGAATGAGTTGTGTGTGCATGAAATGCGTTCAAAAGTTCTCTGAAATCTGAACAGTATTTTTGGTTTTTTATAGGGTGTTTTTTTAATCTTATAAAGTGGGATGAGAAATTCCTGTGAATTAATAATAGTGAAAAACTTGTGCATTTCCTTCTGTCATACTACATACTATTGATGAGTTAGTATTTCATCTCTTTCACAAATCACACCCTTCAGTATAAACTCAAAATGCTTCTTTCTTTTTTAATTAAAAAACAAAACTCACATTTTATAAGTATGTGATTGGTTTCACGTAAGAGTGTGCAAAAAAACCGGTTATTGTTAACTAAATTTATATCCAAATTGTTTCACTTTTAAAAATCCAAACCAAATGCTAAAATATAAATTTGGTTATCCATTTTATTATCCAAATATAAACCGATTTCCATGTGATTTATCTATTGGTTATCTAAATTTCATTATTTGTTAATTAATATGTTTTTGTCTCGTTTCATGTTTTATCATATACATGTTATAAACTAATTTTATATTTTAAATCAAAAGATTCAAAATTTTGTATTTTAAAATGAAAAAAAAAATTGTTTACCAATTCTCTAACTACCTAAAATAGTGTACTAATACTTCACAAATTATATGGACTTTTATCAGTTAATTATACGAACTTTCAGTAATTAATTATATAGATCTTAGTGCATTGGCATGTGCAAAAAAAATACCAAAACTTGACTTGTTAGATTTGACTCTAATTTTCATTTATAAATCTCGAAGTTCATTAAAGCTTTATGAAAAAATAATTATAAATATTATAGATTTCTCCACCAATAGATAGAGGTTTTGAAATATACAAATACATGTATTATAAATATTAGTTATCATTCTAAGTCCATATAATTTGCTGAAATTTTTTATTTTTAATTTTTTTATTTTTAGTTTTATTTTTAATTTTTTTTTTTTTAAATTTTATTTTTAAAAAAAATTATATTTATTTTCAAAGAAAAAATATATTAAAATTTAAGTATTTAAATTTAAAAACGGATATAATTTTAAAAAAAAAAAATTTAAATTGAACTAAATAATTTAGGTTAAAATCAAAATCTATTTAGAATTGGTTTTAAACCGGTTTAGAACAAATGGTTTGGTTTATAAACCATAACCATAAAAATGGTTTGGTTTATAAACCATAACCATAAAAATAGATCGGTTCTATTATTGATTAAGTTTTCTCCTTTATTACCCTTAGTTTTCTACTTTTTTTTATTGGAAGACATTGTTATTACCCTTAGTTTTCTACTTTTTAATTGGAAGGCATTGTTGTTATGGTGTGACAGTGAGTAGAAATTTTCATTCAACTGGTGTGAAGAAGATAGGAGGTGGATATGACATTCATATCACATGTACTTGGACCAGATGAAGCATCAGGAGTTAAAAATGTCACTTGCAATGTTTAAAATGTCACTTGCAATGTTTACTGCTATCAGCATGGGTGGTGTTTGCAATAATAATTTGGTAGATTTGGGAATCCTAGACCAGCATATTGATTTTAATGATTGTTGTCTTATTACTCTCACTCTATTCATATTTAATTTTTTATATGCATTTTTCATATATGTAATAATCAATTTTTCTGTACGGCCAAATACTCGTGAACATTTTCATTTCTTAATATAAAGTATAAAATTAAAATGTTTTAGGTGGTTTATCAATTATTTGATAGTTTGCAATAAAATTGACTTTTTAAAAAAATTGATTTTAAAATTGGTTTTTTAAAAAATTGTGTTTTTTAAATATTGGTTTGAAACTGAATCAATTCACTTGTAAACTGATTTAAAAAAAATAAATCGATTTTATATAAATAGTTTTAAGATCTAAAACAAATCATATATGTTGTTTGATTTGGTATAATTCATGCACACCCTTTTATGCACACCTTTTCACTAAAATTTCAGTTGAACGGTGATAAAATGAATTGCACTGTTGAAAACTTTACACTACCTTTTACATCAAACATGTTTTTAAATCATGCCAACACAATTAAAATTATTTCAAAGTTACATTGATCGAATATTTACTCAAATACACAAAGTTGTTGTCCATAATGAGCTTTTGTAGCTTCTATAGCAAGTCATCTTCAATTTTTAAGAGTGTGCCGTTTAGCCAATTACTGTTTTTTATTTCTTTGTAATGATCGTATTTATTGAAAAAATTGTATTCTAATTTATTTGTAGTTTTCAAAGTTTAGTTAAAATTAATTAATTTTGTTGATGTTAAAAAGTAAATACACGACAACATTGAGTTTTTATTTCTTTGATGTTTTCAAAGTTTAGTTAAAATTAGGAAAAAGTAAATTTACATTAATGAATAACAAACAGTAATTTACCAAAAATGAAATAAACATAAAAAAGAACAAGAAAAATAGGAGCACATTTAAGTGAAAAAAAATAGGAACTTTGATTAGAGTTTACTAGTTTAAGATCATCAGAAAACATATTCATAAAACAAATGCTTTGAGCACACATAGAACTATGGGTGTTCGCGGGGCAGTTTTGTTCGATTTTGAAAGAAGCTGATGCTCAATCCGATCAAAAGTATATGAATTGGTTTTGATTGAATTTTTACATTTTTTCAATAAAATTCAAACCAAAAAATAACGGGTTGGTTTGTGTTGAATTAATCGAATATAATAGAAACAACGATGCAAAATATTTTTAAGAAATTAATAATTTACATCAACTAATTTTCTATAATAATATAATTATTTTTATTTTTTATCGTTTTTTCATATAGGTTGTGAATGTCACAAATGACGTTTCATTCTTCTTCCTTCTTAAAGTTAAATCTTACACTAATTTCTATGATAATGATATAAATTATATGAATTAATATGATTGGTTTGGATAGACGAACTTGTGGGTAAAATTTTAGAAATCCATTGTTCAAACCATTCATTGGTTTGGTTCGGTTTTTACCCGAACTTAAAAAATGTCTAACCCAACCACTATGATTTGGTTTAAATTTCAGTTTGGTTTGGATTTGTCCGAACCAATAAACAGGCTCTACATAGGACAAGAAAAAATCAAAAATAAAAAAATGAAATCTTCTTTTGAATCAAAAACACTTGCAATATGAAAGATTAACAAAAGCTACAAAACAATGAAAAAAAATAAACCACTGAGATGAACATTATAAAACCTACAAAAGAATGAAAGAAAATAAATCATACATCAATCAACTTATGCTATTAAATCCTTAGATCATGTAAAATTTACAAAATAAATATCCATAAATAAAACTCATTAAACAACAAAGAATACGAAGGAAAAGAAAAATAGAAATTGGAAAATAAAACAATAGATTGAAAAATAGAAATTATAAACAATGAAACAAATAAATAAATAAACTATTATTTAGCTGAAAGATCTAAGTATTTTTTAAATAAACAGTAACCATCAACAACAATCTGTGGATTTATCAATGATATAATCGATTAGGAAAGCAATTTTTTTTAAGGAATGATCTAAGTATTTTTTAAATAAAGAAGATGAAAAATCTGTAAATAACTTTGAAATACTTTGTGAAAAATCCAAATCAGACTTACAACTATAACTTTTTTAAAAATTTTGTGACGAAATTCAAACCATCAAAATGTTGTAACTTTATGCATATAATATATTTATTGTCGAAAATGGCAAAATATTAGAAGAAGAAGAAGAGAAATATAAGAAGAGAGTTGAAAGACAAGACGAAATTCAAACTATCAAAATGTTGTAATTTTATGCATATAATATATCTATTGTCGAAAATGACAAAATATTGAAAGAAGAAGAAGAAGAAAGACAAGACGAAATTCAAACCATCAAAATGTAATAACTTTAAACATATGCTTATTGTCGAAAATGGCAGAATATTGAAAGAAGAAGAGAAATATAAGAAGAGAGTTGA